CACATAATAGGCGTGTTAAATGGTGCGATTTAGGGATTTACAGGCTTACATTTACTGTAATTAGCTACATTGCAGCAATAGGGAGGCACAAAGAACACTGTGCGATTCAAAAGTCATATTTCAAAGGGCGGGTTTTTAATCACATAAATAATTCAGGGCATTCTGAATTCAGTGATTTGGCTCTCCATCGCCTTTTTTGGCCACGGAGGTGCAAAAGTATCGAGCGAAAATGTCGCAGCTCCTTGCCTACATTATTAAAGTTGCTGGGTATGGGCGTGGATGGTAGGGGCGTGGCTGCCGCCCATTCCGGATTGCGCCATGTTGCGGCACTTTTGGCCATTTCCCATTTGCCATTTCCCGTTTGGGCCATTTTCCATTTGCATATTGGTCATCACCCGTTTCATGTCTTTTGACAATTTGCCGCATTGTTTTCTGTTAATTGTTATAAATTTTAAATCACTGACAACAATTGCGTGCTTTTGTTGCTGTTGACGATGATTGTTATCGTGGAGGTTGCTTTTATTTGTTTTGCGGTTGTTGCTGCTGAATTACGAGATACATTTGCGGCGCTGCGCAGCACTTATGGCCATAAATAGTCCGGCACAAAAATAATAATCAGGCAGGCTTTGCATGGGTTAATAAAAGCCAATCCAACCCCTCATCATCAGCCTTGCATTTGCCACTGTTTGGTACTTTGTGCTGTCCCGCTGCGGTTAATTGAAATTAAATGTTCATTTACTGAAGTTCTAATGGCAACTGAAGCACGTGGATGTATAAGCCCTTTCAAGCCGGGGAAGCGATAATAGCCAAAAAAATGAAAATTAATAGAAATGGCTGGCAAATCTAAAACACTTTTACCTTCTGACCCGGCGGAATGGAATGCTTCTCCAGCGCGACATAATATTTGTAATTCAATTTAAGCTGAATTTTGTGTGCCAAGAGCGAAATGTATCCGGCAGATACAGCACGCCACATGCCAGGGGATGGTGCTAAAACAAATTTCATTTGGCATCAAAAAACGGAAAATCAACTTAGGCGACATATTGAGAAATCATTTTGCTATCAATCGTGGTGGCAAAAGCAAGGAAGCGCAACGAAATCCGAGAAAATCGGCAAGGCAGAGGCACCAGAAGTTGCCGCGCACGTACGCAAATAAAAGGATGTGAGGCGAATTAAAATTGCAGACGCTACGCTACAACGCTACAGGTACGCAGAGAACAAAAACTGATAGGATTCGCAGTATCATCAATATAACGTTTCAATGACTGCGCCGTTAAAAGCAACCTTGTGTTGCTCCAAATCAGTCCCAATCACCTTTATGATTATTACATGCGCCGAGAAGCTTCACAAATATGATATATATGCATTTGACTCAGCTTACCAGCAGCTTTAGCAGTTTTTCTCGCGGTGTACGGTGTGCGTATAGATGCGGATACGAGATACTCGCACTGATGCGAAGATACATATGCTGCGGCGTATCTGCGCGATGCGCGATGCTCGATGCTCGATGCTCAATGCTCAACACTTCCCGCGATATACTTAAGTTCATTTGCGCCACTTTGCGTCTGCCTTCTGCATTTTAAATGCGTTCGTGTTTCGACTTTTGGTTTTCAGTTTTCAGCTTTCAGCTTTCAGCTATCGGCTCTCGACTCCCGGCTTTATTTTATTTCCGTAACAACTACACAGAGATACAAATGTGGCACCATCGAACGGAGCTTTAGCACCATGCCACTTGACCCGACCTTTCATTTACATTCTTTCTCGTCTAATCCACTCAACTCCACACTCTACCTACCCCATCCAAAACACTTGATTTCGCTTCATTTTCCTGGTTTTCTTTCTGGTTCCCCGGCAACTCTGGCCATTAGCGGGGATTCGTAAATAGTTTAGAGCTGGGGGTTCATTGAATCCCCTTACTTGCATTAATGCCAATGATGGCGGTGCTGATAATGATTCATTCATCTGGGGACCTGACTTTGCACCTGGCATCGTTCCTATAAATAGCATGCTAATGAGCAACTTTTAAGTTTGTCTTCCTCACATACATAAATCAATCAGCCGGCTGGAAAAATCCAAACGAGTTATGATCGATCGCACCTGGAATGTGACAGCATTTATAGGTATTACGTGTGCCTGCCAAGGTTTCAACAACTTCAGGAGTACTCTGCTCAGTTATTTTCCCCCGAATGACCTCACTCACCGCGCCTATCAGCGTTTATAGAGTCTAGAGTTTATAGAGTCGGGAGATATTCCAATAGGTCGCTGCAACCAAAAGTATTTCATATCTCGGCTCCAAGGATCTGTATCCAATTGGTTTCCATTGAACTCGGCCAGATTAATTGCCGCTTTGCCAGAAACCTACGAACGAAGGGGAACGAACCCCTCTGCGCAGCGGATCAATGAACCGCAGATCAGTGCTCGCCGTGGAAAGGGCAGTCTACCGAAGGTATCCATGGACTTGAGTTCTGTAGGCAGGCGATCGCAGAGTCATCGAGGCTCATTGACCCATTTTGGTAGCCGAATACCGAAAGCCACCATTTCTATTACCATTTCTATCGCTGCCAGCGAGTTTCAGTTGAGTTTTATTCCAGCTCTGGGTGCGACACACATTCCGGCCGGAGATCGAACCTGTTTTGCCTAGCAAATTACATGCCAGCTACGAGAAGAAGTTGCTGGGTTCTATTTTGTACATTTCGTACTTGTAGCCGTGCTGTTCTGTGTTTCGCCTTTGAATAATCACATAAGCATGACGCGTATTTAATGGCAAATTGACCCAAATCGTTTCAGAGACCTCGCAGATTTATGGGTACGCGAAAGCCCGGGGCGAGCGTCTTTGCAAAGTGATAAATGATAGTTCCCCGGGCCACACTACACACTACACACTACACACTACACACTACACACTACTCACTACTGACTACACACAATCCAAAGAAACCATCGGTGCCGCCAAGAATGAAGTGCCTTGAACTCGGCCAGGAGAGAACGATCCGATTGGTGCCATAAACAAATGTTCAGGCTAGTTGAAAATGAAAATTCCATACGGAATCGGAATATCCAATCTTTTGGGATTAAAGCGCCGAAAAGGGGGAGCACAGGTGATTTTGCATTTTTCACGAGCCCTGCAGCAGCCCGCTTCCCCCTCCCCCTCCCCCTCCCCTTTCCTCACCCTTGCCTTTGGGCTTGTGGAGCTGGTTGTTGAAAGCTGGTTGCAACATATTCGGTTTCGCTCCATCTTTGTGTGCCTCTGTATATCTCTGTATCTGGGCCTGGTGTTTGCAAAAAGTTTGCGGCGCATGCAAATGAAATGGAAAACATTTGAGTAAAAACTTGCTGCGCCCCTTTGGCGGCTGCCCACCTCTTTTTTGAAACATCCCTGCAGCTGATTTGAATGCGGCAAAAATGTTGCACAAAGTTTTCGGGACTCAACTTAAACAAATACCCAAAATGATGTGAATGTGCAGGGGAACTTCAGTTTGCAAGTAAGTGAACTGCATTTGCAATCTGCCAAAGGTGGCAAGCAGCTTAGAACTTGCACGTTCCACAGAACTTGCCACATTCGATTGTCTCTTAATCGTATGTTATTCCAGTAATATAGGTTTCTCGGTGGCACGAGAGCTACCAAATGCACCAACAATAAAAAGAACTGCAAGCAATTTGTCAGCTACAGCGGACAGGACACTCGCCTCCAATTGAATGCGACAGAGACAAAGAGCAACTGAGCTGCGATGCAAACCGGGATGGGAATCAGAACGGGCTGTCCTCCTCCTCTCAACTCCTCAGGCAAACGCACACAGAGTTATGGATGTGTGTGGTCCTGACCCAAAGGGATTCCGAGTGGCAAGAAGCTGGATGCAATGTCATAAATATTAGAAGGCCTTGCCGCCAGACACAGTGTTCAAATGCTGGATGCTGAATGGTCAATGGTGAATGGCGAGTGGCGAATGGCGAATGGCGAAGGGAGCTATGTCCAACGTCCAATGTCCAACGTCCAACGTCCAACGTCCAACGTCCATGTCCGTCGTTTGTCTTTTCTCGTTTGTCGCACGCACAGCCCGCAATTGCAAAGATACAAAGCGCAGATAGGCAAACAGATTGTCGCCTGCAGCGTCGCCTTTTGGGGGAGGTGACTGTACCAGGGGCATGTATGTGTGCCTACTTCACCACCGAATGCAAGTGAATTGGGTGTTTTCCAAAGTGAACACTGGTTGGAGCGCCAAGGGAGACGCATCAAAAGTGTAAAACAGGTCAATTAGTGGGGCAAACGAGACTAAATCATCCCCGTGTTCCCGAGTTCAGTGCAATACTGCTTTATAATGCCCCTGTCCAACAAATAAAATTCGTCACTTGAAGGGCTGACTTGCAGCCGCATTTCGCCACTTCAAGACCACTGTGTCTGCTGCTGTATTGTGGCGCTTTTAGATTGTTTTCCATTAGGCTAAGGACCTTCACCCACTGCAGCTTATAGTTGTAAACTTTCACAGTGGATTGAGTGGTGAGATCTTCGCTAAATTGTTGGCCGTGGTTTGAGTTGCATTAGATCAGCTGATAATGACTCCGAATTACCGAGATCGGTAATAGTAATCGTTTTCAAATTGTGTTATCTTTTCTCGAAAATCTAAATTCAAATTCATCGTTTACTTTGGAGTTAAACGTCTTTCAACAAAATCGTTTTTTTTTTTTTTTTTTTGCGCAATACAATTGGAGGGCTGTACATTACAAGCTCCCTCGTCCTGGCGGGTATTTCTCGCCCCTGGCTAGAAAATATTACACGCAGTTTTCAACTTGACATTTTGCGCCTGACCAAAGTGGAAAACGAGGATTGGGGCTTGGGGTTGGGATTGGGGTTGGGGTTGGGGAACGGAAATGGAAATGGACCGACCGGCTGGCTGCCTGTTTAAAAATGAATGATTAGAGGGAGGAGAGAAGGACAGGATGAGATGACAAAGGCAACGCCTTCTAACGACCCACCATTTCTCATTTTCCATTTCTCATTGCAGCGCCTCTGGCTGAATAAGAGGAAATCCCAGCCATAAAAGTAAATCACTTCGGCGCCAACCAGTTCCAGTCATCATGGCTCACTCCAAGGTGATCCTAAAGATCCTGTTTTCGCTGTGCGTCTGGTCCTTCGTCATCATAGGACTGTTCAAGATGCACGGCACGAATCTGGTGCCGCAGGAGTACCAGCAGGTGCCACTCAAGGGACGCATCCTGCTGCAGAAAGACACTCGCTACGCGGAAACCACCTCCACGACCACGGATCACTTCGATCCCAGCGAGATACTGGTGGATAATCGAACAGGTGAGCACGAATGCTTCGGGCAAGAGTATTAAACATTGATATAGCGAAGCTAACATCACATATACATATATATTAATATAACAATCACATATTAATGCAATTCAACCAAACGTTAAACGTTGCATCAATCGTTCCCTTCTCCTGCAGCCATGGACGACGACCAGTTGGTCCGAGACGTGGAATCCCGCATCCCCTCTCTGCCGATCGCCTACTGGAGCAAGAATAAGAACTTCCTGCAGCAGAAGTCGTCGACCTGCGCGAAGTACCCCTCCATTTTCGAGCTGGAGTTCAACAACATCTACTGGCAGACGCTGCGCACCTCGAACGGAACGTTCCAGCTCTTTGGGGCCTATTACGACATCCGCCGCACCTCGCTGCTGGGACCCACTGTGCGGATCCTGGGAATGATCGATAGGATTGAGCCCAAGGTGAAGACGTACTGCCAGTTTTGGTTTGACGGCCAAAAGGAGCCGTTCATCGTGAAAACGTTTGAGTACAAGTACATCTGGTACAACAAGTGGGGCAACTACAAGCAGGGCATCTACCAGCCGTATCTGATCGCCTGCCAAATTCCCAAGCCCTTCCACGGCGTGGTGCCCAGCTCCGTGTCGATGGTGGAGAAGGAGTGCGACACGGCCACCAACAATCTGCGGGTCATCTACAACCGACCGCCCGATGACCAGAAAAAGGGATTTGCTGTCTGCGTCAAGGGATTGGACTTCCTCTACGACGACCTGAGTGTGCGGCTGATCGAGTGGATCGAAATGCTCAATATCCTGGGGGCGGACAAGATCTACTTCTACAATCTTCAGGTAATATTCCCACTTTCAATACTCCACTCAAGAATATCCATTGGCCCAGTGGCCTGGCCTCAGCAAATTGATATTCAACAATTAACCGACACTCATCGATTCCCCATCCCTCGACAGGTCCATCCCAACATCACCAAAGTGCTCAGTCACTACGAACAGGAGGGCAAGGTCCAAGTGATCCCGCTGACGCTGCCCGGTGGACAGCCAAACGTGCCCGGATTCCAGCACCTTTACCTAACCAAGAAGACGAACCACAAGCGGCAGAACGAGGTGATTCCATACAACGACTGCCTGTACAAAAACCTCTATCTCTACGACTACATCGCACTGCTGGACATCGACGAGGTGATCATGCCCAAAGGCGGTGCGGTTTTATGGTCCGAGCTGATGGACAAAGTGCGTCCGGAGTCGCGCAAAATCAAAACGGACGGATTCCACAGCTACAACTTCCGCAACGTGTACTTTTTGGACGACCAGCAGCACGAACATGGCTGGCACAAGGACATACCCAAGTACATGCACATGCTACAGCACGTCCATCGTGCAAAGAACTACACCAAGCCGAATCAGTATGTCAAATGCTTCCACGATCCGGAACGCGTGCTCACCCTCCACAATCACTTTCCACTGAGCTGCTTGGGCGGCGTCTGCAAGTCGTATCCTGTGGACACCAAGGACGCCCAGCTGCAGCACTATCGGGCGGACTGCGTCAAGACGCTGAAGAAGAGCTGCGAGGAGTACCGGGAGCACTCTGTCGAGGACAAAACCATTTGGAAGTACAAGGACGAGCTTATCCGACGCACTATTAAAGCGCTGGACACCCTGGGCTTCTTCCGCCGCCAGGGCTTGAATTCCGCTTCCGGTTCGGGGAGCAGCAGCAGCGGATTGGGCGGTGGAGCCACCACCCACTCCACGGAGCGGTGATTCACACTTCTCGGGGGCGGAGGAGGCGGATGGTCCTGGCCCTGGCAACTGGTTGAAGCATCGGGCAGCAACATTGGCAACGAAGAGTTCTTCGTGTAAGGAGGCCACCGGATGCCGTGCGTTGCGTTTCACAATCCGAGTCCGAAACTGAAACTGATACTGAAACTGAAACCGACTCCGATCCCAAAGCCCAGAACCCAGAAACCAGAACCCTGAACGCGTCCTCTAATCCCTGAATCTCTGTTGCGCAGAGAGATCACTCGTCTCTGAGTTTAGTTACTATATGTGTCCAGAGTTCCCATCCAAAACCCATACGTAGCGAGCCACTGTTTTTGATTGCAATTCGATGGCATTTGTAGATTGCCTTTAGAGCCTTGTTGAGTACTACTCACCTGAGTAATACATGTAAGTTAATACTGCTTTCATAACGTTTGCAATGTCCCATTGTGTTTGGTCCCCCTTGTAAAGATCGTCCGTCAAAATGCATCGCAATCTCAGCCAAAAACAGGGCTTACCAGCGTATGGCTAGTGTATAGAAGAGGCGTTAGTTAGTCGCGGAATTGGGAGAGAAATCTTTTGAAATTGTGCCTTCGAACCTGGATTGTAGTTAGTCCCGTCCCGACCCGTCCTTCCCTGCAATCCCTTCCATATATCCCAATTTTATACTTCCATTCACAAAACGAAAAGACACAAGGTCACAACTTTTCAAGAATCGAGACCCCATAACATTTGCTTGAGTTAACAACAACACAAAAATGATGAGAGTCGAGGATGAGGGGCAAAAGTGAAGGAAACCTAAACTAAGTTCAAGACTGATGATGTTTATTAAGAATTATAAAAACGAAGGAGAGGAAATTTCAAGCGAATTTTTGTTTTCACATTTGGATAGAATCGATATTATTGTTGTTGTATAGGCGAGTAAAAGCCCCCCTAAAAATCGCAAGCGAAATATATCACTAATGCTAAGCAAAACACAAAGCAAATTGATCAAGTTTGAGTTGTAAACTGTAAATAGGAAAATTGTTAACGAAGAGGACAAGGCCCTAAGGATAACACTAACTATACGCGGATTAGGCCGATGTAAATCGGGTAAACTAGCAGGATATTGAAGAAGACAGGACGAGGTTTAGAGAAGCTGCTCAGCCCAATCCTTGAATGGTGTTTAATACCGATCGACTATCATACCCAATATTCATATGTTTTTTAACTTGTACATACACATACACACACACAAACACACAGACACCCACACACACTCACATACGACAAGCACACAAATACACCACGCACATTTCCTTATGTATTCTATTTTATTTTATTTTATTTTTAATTTTTTTATAGCAGCTTAGTCAAATTGTTGTTGGAGCTAGAAAGAGTCGTGTACAGTTGAGGCAACTATTCGATAGTTTAACGACTACACATAAACAAACACAAATACATATACAGATATACAGATATAGACATACTTCAGTGTATTAATGTTAGTTGCTAGCTGATAAGGACAACCCGTGTGAAGGAAACCCTATTTTCTTTCCTCATTTTTTTTTAGTAGCTAATAAACCGCAACTGATATAAGAACAAAGTGATTGAAGAATAAATTAAAAAAATAAATAAAACATTGTATGTAATGAAATTTAGAGCAAATGATATGTTTAGATATCAACTTAAATTGCAGATGTTGTAGCTAACCCTAGCTCATAATCACTATCAGCAGCAGCCTTTTTGGGATAAACCAAAGCCCTTTTCAGCACTCTTCCAGCTGAATGGCTCGATAAGGATACTGCGATACCAGGAGCGTGCCAGCGACGTGAGACACCAAACTTCCAGGAATGTAAACAACAAAGCATTTAGAACGGGCACAAATGAATCTACTTTACGCAGGAGCAGCACAGCGGCACAGCAGCAAAGGGGAAAGTCCTCCAAGGATACCTTAAGCCACTCCACACAAAACTTTCTGGCCAAAGAGCCGAGGGATATCCAAGGAAGTTCGCAGGCACCGGACAGGACCAAGAACAAAGGGAGATGCTTCGAGGTTGGCGATTGGAGGTGGAGGTTGGAGGTTGGAGGTTGGGGACGAAGAAATTTGTATAAACGCAACTTAAGTGAGCATTAAACACGCTCCACTGGAGGACCAGAAACGCAGACGAGAGCTGGGAGCTGGGAGCTGCGAGCTGCGAAACGGAACTCGGGAGCTGCTGCCAAGTTCCCGGCCGTCTAAGTTGGTTAATAAACATTACCAACGCCACAAAAACCATTTACGTGAACTATTAAAATTCCGCAGCATTTAAGTTGCCTACCAGCGCCCTTTCTTGGCCTTGTTTCACGCTTATATTTATTTATATGGCACACACGAGGCGGAAAGTGGGCTGGAAAATGGTGGCAACGGCGGCAACGACGGCAACAGTTTATGGACTGCAGGATAATGATTATGTTGATGGCGACGATGGTTATGAGGCGGTTTTCAACACTTTCAACACACCCGCAGCCAACAGCAGACTTCCCATTGAACATTTTTAGCTCCTAGCTGCCAGCTACCCGGGAAAAAATGGGAATTCGAAATGCGGCTAACTAATTAAAATTCGTATTCCCAAAGCTATTCCGTGGCATATGCGTTCCATTCATAATGCAAACGCATAAATCCGCGAATAAAGAGCGCTGCTTAAAAATTAAAATCCGCAATTACACGACAGCCCCAGGTGATGATGTTGCAACTCCAAAACCGCATAAAATTCATACCCTGCGGTCAGGTCAGGTCAGTTCGTCGTCGTCTGTTTGATTTTTCGGTTGGCCCTCAGTCCGAAAGTCTGCTTTCTATTCCGTTTTCCGTGTTATTTCCGTATATTTCTTGTCCCAACTGTATCTGTGCATTCGGACATTCGTCCGGTCAGCTGGATTTGCGTTCCGTTCCTTTGCCACGGAACCAGGTCGAACCATCCCGCACCTGATCGGCCACCTAACCCAACGGCCATTGTGGAGCGCTGGCACTGCACTGAAAAACACATTCTAGAACTTGCGTTCTAGATGTTGAAAAGTGAACATGCAACTATGAAAACAACCGCTTTATACAGTCAGTGCTAACGATTCCATTTACCATTTGACGGATTTTTGGGCTAATTTCTCGTATTTTTTGTCAACAAAATTTTCAAAAAATTGACAAAAAATTTAATTTTTATTTTTGAATACAGTTCGGTTGGAAATTAAAATACGAGCTCAGCGAGGTATGACATTCCATGTTCAGACAATTATTTTTAAAGTTGTGGCCAAAAAACTGAATATTTTATGTCAGAAAATCGGAAAAACGCATTTTGGCAAAAATTCGATATTTTCGATGGGAATTTTCATCATAACTTCCATAAAAATGATCAAAAAGATGAAGGAATGACAGTTTTGAGCAGCTTTTTACCAACTCTAACCATCCCTATCACTTTTTGACGGATTTGGGAAAATACTTTTTTTTGTGATTTTTTGCTTTTTTTGTAAGGGGTAACATCAACAAAATTTGCCAAAAATGGCCAAAAAATTAGATTTCTATTTTTGAATACAGTTCGATTGGAAATTAAAATACGAGCTCAACGAGGTATGACATTCCATATTCAGACAATTATTTTTAAAGTTGTGGCCAAAAAACTGAATATTTTATGTCAGAAAATCGGAAAAACGCATTTTGGCAAATATTCGATATTTTCGATGGGAATTTTCATCATAACTTCCATAAAAATGATCAAAAAGATGAAGGAATGACAGTTTTGAGCAGCTTTTTACCAACGCTAACCATCCCTATCACTTTTTGACGGATTTGGGAAAATACATTTTTTTGTGATTTTTTGCTTTTTTTGTAAGGGGTAACATCAACAAAATTTGCCAAAAATGGCCAAAAAATTAGATTTCTATTTTTGAATACAGTTCGATTGGAAATTAAAATACGAGCTCAACGAGGTATGACATTCCATATTCAGACAATTATTTTTAAAGTTGTGGCCAAAAAACTGAATATTTTATGTAAGAAAATCGGAAAAACGCATTTTGTCAACAACATTTTTTTTTGATAACATCAACAAAATTTGCCAAAAATGGGCAAAAAGTTTAATTTCTATTTTTGGATACAGTTCGATTGGAAATTAAAATACGAGCTCAACGAGGTATGACATTCCATATTCAGACAATTATTTTTAAAGTTGTGGCCAAAAGTTCTAGGAGTACCAGATTTCCTGCAGTAGATCTCCCTCCTGGGCACCGGCAGAACTCAACTGGAGGACATCATCTAGAGGAAAACCGACAGGCGTGTTAGAAATTAACGTATTGATAATACCATTATGTTAATAAAATGTAAAAAAACATCAAACATGTGCGTTTTTATTTAATGTCTCCAGTATTCGGTTGCTAGGTTGTATTGCATACTTTTAGCTGCTGCTGGAAAATTAGTCTTAGTCATTCATGTTTGCTGATTCCTACTGAAAATTAAAAACAAAAAAAAACATATTTTTTCGTATTTTATTACTTATATAGATTGGATGGTGGTCATTGCAATATTAATATTGCATACTTTTAGGATCTGACCGATTATTGATCAGCTGATCATTAATTGTGTTGCATACTTTTGGGCTGGCAGCGATTTTAACAGCTGTTCATGTTGCATTTAGTGTTGCCTACTTTCGAGGGCCACTTCATTTCAAATTCTGCAGATTCACCTGCTGGCATTTCTGTTCGCCTGGTATCTGAAATCAAAGAAGCTGAATTTTTCAGGCAAAAATTAACAAAACGCCTCATTTTGTAGTGCAAATTGGGCAATATCTGATCCCATACACCAGGTAAACAGAAATGCCAGGAAGCGGCCAACGATCATTGATACGACGATAATATGAAAACCGGACGTTTGATCCGAGTTTTGTTGGGCAAATTGAGAGATTCTGGATTTCAGATACCAGGCGAACAGAAATGTCAGGAGGTGACTCTGCAGAATTTGAAATTATGCTGCCCTCGAAAGTAGGCAACATTAAATTGAACGATCAGCTGATCGCAATTTGTAATATCCGTGTGCAGCCCAAAAGTATGCAACGGAAAGTTTATGATCAGCTGATCAATAATCGGTCAGATCCTAAAAGTATGCAATATTAATATTGCAATGACCACCATCCAATCTATATAAGTAATAAAATACGAAAAAATATGTTTTTTTTTTTGTTTTTAATTTTCAGTGATTCCTACTCTGGCAGTCAAAGAGATCGGTTGTGTCGCGCGCATGCAAAAGTGATTTATTTTTTGCTTATCGGTGCATTCCCTTTTGTGCTCAAAATAGCACAAATCATTTATTTGGGCGCTGCTTTGAGCGGTGTCGGCAGTTTGACAAAAACAAAAAGTGCATCAGGTGAAGTGCATTCAAACGGTGCTTTCTGCCCTTCGGGCAAGTCATCTACCTCACCCCGCGCAGAACTGCACAAGAGGTAAACAAACTTTGCTTATCAGTAAAACCGAACTGTTTATGCTCTGTTCCGGACATTTGGGCCCGCAAATTATTTGCTGAATATTAAGACAATATAAAAACAATGAATGAAAACAGTTTCGATGACTCTCAGCTTATAAAGAAGCAGATTGATCATGAAAAAATGTTCTCAATAGCTGGAAAATTACCTAGTAAGATTAGAGACGAGTGCCGATCAGAAATTCAACGCATTACATGCAATAAGTCTCAAAGCAGTCCCACCACAACAACAGTGACATTTTCTAGTGCCAGTAGCAGCACCATATACACAATGGCAAATCCCACAATGAGCAGCATCTGTTCTGGTTCAAGTGTAGCAAACCAAGAATGTTCCCAATTGACCAGCCCCGACATTGCAGCAAAAAATCTAAGCGGTGCTGCCAGAAGATTACTGGATGATCAAAATCGGAAAGCAGGCAAGAGAAAAAATGCAAAGCCACTGTCCCCCATCCTTAAACCGAAAAGAGTGAGCAGTACCCAGGGCCCGCACTTGGTCCCCACAATTAACCAGAAGGCAAGCTCTAGTAACAGGTTTGCTATTCTCGACACGGACATCATTACTAATGAAGAAAACGGGGAAGACATGATGTCTGAGGATGCCGATGATGCTAGTGCCCGCATGGACGAATTTCAATCTGCAGAAAACAATACTGCCAATAAATCCCAGGAAACATCTAACGCCAACAATCAACTCAAAGATTTTAAAAAACCACCCCAAATTGTTGTTAATATTAGCAACTTAAATGACCTATTTGAGCTCATACAAGAAAAGGCAAGTCTAGATAACGTCGTAGTCAAAGCTAACCAAGGGGAAACAGTCAGAATATTTCCCAAAGACAGTGACACTTACAGAAAAATTGTTAGCTATATGGATGAAATTGGTATGCAGTTTCACACTTACCAAATGCTGACAGAAAAAGCACACAGAATTGTAGTAAGGGACTTACATCACAGCACACAAAACAAAGATATAACGGCCGATCTGAAATGTTTAGGCTATGAAGTACTTCACATTCACAACCCTAGTTCAAGGGTTAATAAAGATGAAAAACTCAATATTTTTTTCATTAACATTAAGCCCTGCCCTAATATTAATGAAATTTATCACGTGAAGACCCTTTGCCGACAGAAAATACGGATCGAAAGGATGCGAAAGTCTAGTGAAATTGCACAATGTCGACGTTGCCAGGAGTATGGCCATACAGCTAAATACTGCCGCAGACATCCAAATTGTGCCAGGTGTGGTGAAAATCACCAAACCACACAATGTACACGTCCTGTAGATGCTCTGCCCACATGCTATCACTGTTCTCACGATCACATGGCTAGTTATAAAGGTTGCCATAAGTACCAGGAGCTTCTCCGCAGATCTATGGGGCCTGCGAAGAAGGCGAATCACTTAAATAGGCAGAATCATGGGTTCAACCATAGAGATCAGCAACAGTTTCCTTCCGTGCAGATTAATCGCCGTAAGAGTACTAACCAGTCAACTGAAGATCAGCAACCAACACAACAACACCAAAATATGGTACAGCATCAACCATCTATAGGCCCTGGGGTAAATACAAAAGTATCCTATGCCACAGTAGCAAAAGAATACTCTAATACAACTCCCTCCAAGGATGGACCAGCTCAGCGACGTTTATATAACTTACAAACGCAACAGTTATCGCAGCAACAACGACTGAACACTCAGCAAAATAATTCACTTGACGTCCAAGCATTGTTACAACAGCAACAACAACAGTTCCAAGAATGGCAGCAGCAAATGCAACAACAACAACAACATCAGTTTCTTATGTGGTTGCAACAGCAGCAACAAGATCAGCAACATCACAGAAATCAAACCAATCAACGACTTGAAAAGCTCGAAAGAATGGTATTTGAAATAACCACCATGTTAAAGCAAGGAGCTGGGAATGAACATACCTACCAGCTTTCTAACAACGCTCCACACCCACAATGAATCCACTAAAGATTCTTATTTGGAATGCCAACGGCATTTCAAGAAAAGCTAAAGATATTGAGCTTTACGCGCACAATAATAGCGTGGACATTCTTCTTGTGACGGAACTTAGAATTAAAAGAGGGGATACTGTTAAGATATATGGTTATGCTTTCTATCCAGCATTTAGGCCATCGCAAAATAATAATAGCGTTGGTGGAGCAGCCGTGTTCGTTAGGACAACTCTTCGCCATTTCCCGCAAAGGGTCATAGAGACACGCAGCATACAAATGTCTACAGTAAAAGTAGCTACAGGACTGGGTGACGTGCAGTTCGGCGCCATTTACTGTCCTCCCAGTGTTAGTATCGACGAAAGACAATTTACTGACACAATACGCTCTTGCGGCCAACGGTATATGATTGGTGGCGACTGGAACGCCCGACACTGGCTTTGGGGCGACACCTACAATTCACCCCGGGGGCGTGAGCTAGCGGAAGCCATCTCTATCACTGGAGCTAAGATACTTGCAACTGGTTCGCCAACCAGGTATCCTTATGTACCCAGTCATACGCCTTCCTGCATTGACTTCGCGGTGCATCATGGTATACCAGATTCCCTAACAAGTATAACACAAAGTTGGGATCTGGACTCCGATCACTTGCCTTTGATCATCAGTATTGTGACAGATAGTACCCATGTGAATCCAAGTCCACGATTAGTCAACAAGCACACTGACCCGCTCGCTTTTAGTCAACAACTGGAGAGCATGATCCCGTTGAACATCACGCTAAATTCTGGTGAAGAAATTGAAATGGCTGTTGATCACCTTACGCAAAGTATTCACAGGGCTGCGACTGCATCTACGCCTTCTGTTCCTCGGACAGGCACCCCCTATGGAATATCCCTAACAAGAGAGGCTAGAGAGCTCCTGACACAGAAAAGGAGACTCAGAAGGCGAGCAATCCGATCTCAAGATCCCTGGGACCGCATCTTATGGAACCGTGCTGCAAAACAACTACGAAATGTGGTAAGAGACCTTCGAAGTATCTTTTTTGAGCAGAAGCTGGCTTCTATGGACTATACGGTGGATGCTGGGTATTCACTCTGGAAGTCCACCAAATCCCTCAAAAGACAACCGTTCAGACAGGTACCCATTAGATGCCCGGGAGGTGAACTTGCTAAAAACGAGGAGGAACAGGCCAATTCCTTTGCAAATCATTTGGAGACTAGGTTCACCCATTACCAATTCGCTACAATGGAGCAGAATCGAGAGACGCTTGACAGCCTAGAGATACCCCTACAAATGTCGCTACCAATTAAACCAATCAGGGTTGAGGAAATTGCCGAAGTCATTAAATCAATGCCAATAAAGAAGACTCCTGGCATCGACAATGTCTGTAATGCCACGTTAAAAGCGCTACCTCTCCGAGCCATCCTATACATGGCGAAAATATTTAATGCTATATTTAGGGTGCAGTCCTTCCCAAAGCAGTGGAAAATGGCAGCAATTCTCATGATACATAAGCCTGGGAAACCTGAAGAGGATCCGGAATCGTATCGGCCCATAAGTCTGCTGTCTTCGCTATCCAAGATATGGGAAAGGCTGATTGCCAACAGACTAGGTGACTTTATTAAGGAGCGCCGTATCCTCCCAGATCACCAGTTTGGATTTCGACAGGGACACAGCACTGTGGAGCAGGTTCACAGACTGGTTAAGCACATTATTCAGGCGTTTGACGACTTGGAATACTGCAATGCTGTATTTATTGACATGCAGCAAGCATTTGACAGAGTCTGGCATATCGGCCTACTCTGCAAAATAAAAAAGCTGCTTCCAGCACCATACTATGGAGTCCTGAAATCTTACCTGGAAGATAGGAAGTTCATGGTCAGGGTCAGAAGCACCTACTCAACCCCTTGCTACATGAGAGCTGGAGTTCCGCAGGGCAGCGTCCTCGGCCCGCTGCTCTACTCAATATTTACCGCGGATTTGCCTTGCCCAAATATGCACCATATGGAAGCTCCCAGGAAGGCCCTACTCGCCACTTACGCTGACGATATCGCACTGTTATACAGCTCCAGTTCTTGCACTGAGGCAGCACGTGGCCTCCAAGAGTATCTCAATACTTTGGCTGCATGGTGCAAAAGATGGAACTTAAAGGTAAATCCACATAAGACCATCAATCCTTGTTTCACCTTGAAGACTCTCATTAGGCGCACACCACCCATACAATTTGATGGCGTAACCCTAGAACAACCTCTGCAGGCTAAATACCTTGGGATCACCCTTGACAAACGGTTGACCTTTGGCCCACACTTAAAAGCTGCGGCACGGAGATGCGGTCAGAGAATGCAACAACTGCGATGGTTGATCAACAGAAGAAGCACCATGACACTTAGAGCCAAAAGGGCAGTATACGCCCACTGTATAGCCCCGATCTGGCTATATGGAGTGCAGATCTGGGGTATTGCTGCAAAATCGAACTATAAACGCATTGAGGTCTTGCAAAATCGTGCAATGCGTGCCATCACCAACTGCCCATACTATGTACGTAGCTCAACCCTTCATCGGGACCTTAATCTGCATACAGTGGAAGAACAGATCTCAAGGCACACAAGCAGATACAGTGATAGGCTTAAAAGACACCACAGCATGCTAGCAAGACGCCTACTCCCTGCCAGGCCTCTAAGAAGGCTTAAAAGAAAGGGCTTTGCCAAAACAATTGGACAGCTTTAAAGACCCCCTCGACGTTTGAGACTCTGTTGTTAGTCTTCCCACGATAAGTGAGAAGTTTGGTTATATTATTTATATGTTTAATTGCAATGTTATGGTACTAGTACTGCATGTACGGATTCGTCGCTTTATAATAATAAACATTTAAAAAAAAAAAAAAAAAAAAAAAAAAAATTTTCAGTAGGAATCAGCAAACATGAATGACTAATACCTAATCACATTCTTATGTTGGTAATTGTGCTAGACTATACTTACATATACCTTATTGTAGTTCTTATAGTAGGGAATATGTTATGGAATATCATTTTACATTACGTGGAGTACTCTCTTTCCATGGCAAGCCAATTTCAGTCGTGGTGTTAATCGTCCTTCTATAAAAAATGGTATAATTAATATTTTTCATAAATAAATTTCCTAATAGTGGATAAGTGCTTGACTATTCTATACTACTACGTCAGTTTCACTGAACACCTATGTACATTTATGGCCCCGCTCCTTACTTTATATATTTTTACCAGTGCATCCATAATGCCGAATGCAGCAGAATCTGCGCAGCAATCTCAATTTGAATTTGAATGCAGATGGCGTTTGATTTTTGGCCAGCCTAATTATGTTCGTCTCTCTGCCGCGTGCTCTTGTGCCTTTTACCTTTCACCCCGCCCCCCTCACTAACACACACGCACACACACGCGCACACACGCACACAGTTGCAATCGTGCTGCTGTGTGCGTGCAAGATTGGCAAACCAAACAGGAAATGCTAATTACATGTAAGTGTACACAGCGCATGAGTGTTTGCGTGAGCGGAAGTGTGTGTGGGCCACTTTCGCTGCGCCTCCCCAGCAGCCGCCCACGCCCAGCCACGCCCCTACTTCGCCCACGGGTAGCAAAGTCGCCGGATTGCCGGCTCATGCAATATTATTGCTCGCAATCTAATTAACCGCACAGCGAGACCAGCGCACCCACAGGACCACCCACACAGTCACCTGGCCAATATTTGCGCCAACTGGTCATATCGAAATGGCCACGCACACCAGCGCATGCACACACACACGGACACACAATGGAAATTATACGCTTAATTGAGAACGGAATCCTGCGCTAATTCAATTCGCTTCCGCCTCCAACTCCACCTGCCTCTCCACCACCATCTCCCCGCGATCCTGACCTGACTTTTGGTAGCTCCTCTGGTCAGCCAAGCAGCCTAGAAGGAGCAGCCATCAGACGGATACTCAAAAGTGTGGCCGCACAGCTGGCCCAATTATTTAAAGCCATCTTAGCAACTCTAAGTACAATTGTGGCAGCTTCCCTGTGGCGCTCCTATGCTCGTAAACCTCGACTATCGCAGGACGCAGTTGCAGTGACACAGTTCCGTTGGCCACAGCCACTGCACTGGGCCGTCCACCTCCCACCATCTGGCTTCCTTCCCTGCTGGGTCCCCAGACCCAGACTCAGACCCAGATCCAGATCCTGCGCTTCTTTTCTCGCCCGCCCTGTCGATTAGTCAATTATAGACAAATGGCCTGGGAGTTGCGAGCGCGGCACAATGTAAACAAGCCATCAATAGCAGCACGAGCGCAGGGGAGCGGCTGGGGAAAGCGCGGAGAAAGGGTGAAACGGAGGACCGGAGAACCGAAGCACCGGACAACGGGAGAAAAGAGAACGGCTGACAGGGGAGAAAGTTCAGCAAGCGGCCTGGCTGAGATAAAAGAATTATGCATAGGCAACAGCAGGGGCGCAGGGGACGGGTCCGGGTCCGCGTCCGCGTCCGCGTCCGGATAGTCGAACAGGGTCCAACACAAAGGCGAGAAAGGAGCCACGGGCCGGCCCGGAATCAGCGGGATGGGTTGAGCGAGAGGAAACCACAAGCCACACAGAGAAATTGAAAAAGAAAGGCAAGAAGCAGCAGCAGCCAGAGCAAAAAGCTCCCCACTGCAGGGAAAACGGATGCCCGCGATGTCGAGAAGTGGCAAGCGGAAAACTAGTCGGAGAAAAACAAGCGATCACTTTCGAGGAACTAACATTTTTAATAGGCAAACGCAGGCAAGCGAAAGCCCTAATTGCCTACATCGCGTCATTCAAATAACTCAGCACAAGGCCTTGGCATTAAAGGCTGTTTGTAGTTTCCCTGTGACCTTCAAGCAAAACCTCTATTTATAGGACCACCCAATATTTTCTCCCTGTGGCGGCCAAGCACCTGGAAAGGACACAAATGCAGGAGGTCGAATGGGAAGCGAAGGGGGGCAATGCCACCCCTCCGCGCTGGAAAGCCAAACTCAAACGGAAATCGGAAAACGCAGCAAAACAAAAGGCAAGCGGAGCCAGAAGAGAAGCAGAGAGTCCCCCGCAGGACTAAGCGGCTAGGGGCATGCCATTTGTTTCAGGACGCAAATGGGGCGAAGTCCGCGGCGGAGAAACGTCCGAGCCAAACAAAAGCTATCCGCATCCGGGCCACATGGACAAGAGCTACGAAAGAAGGAGCAGCACTTGGCAGCAGTACCGCTTGGCTGCGATATGGCGACTTTGGAGTTCTCCTGTAAACTAGTATTATCGGTGTCACTTGAATCGAGCAACAACTTTTCCCAGGCATGTGCATCCCTGTTCCTAGCATCTGCAAGCATATGATATCACAACAAATTGAGGCCAGGCAGAGATATGTTCCGGCTCGTGACATTTTCAGCTGAATGGAGGTGCTGCTATGGCCTGGCATCGGCCATCTGGAGCAGACTCACAGAATCGAGGACGCAATCTGGTGGACCATGGAGGTCTATGCCGCCTCCACATGCTCCATCTTCCTTTGTTTCGCCTGTCAGCTGCGGCCAGGCGCTTTAACTTTAAGCAGACTTCTGGCCGATCGCAGGCACACGATTTCCGCCAAGTGCCAAGTGCCATGTGCCAAGTGCCAGCTGGGAGATGGGAAATGGGAAATGGAAAATGACCACGGGAAAGAAGGATGCCCTGTTACAAATCTTCCTTTTTAGCCCACATCCTGGCCATGATGCTGCCAATTGCCAATTGCCAATCGGCAATCGCCAATCGCCATGCAAACAAAGGCAACAAAAGCTAGTTAATTGGGTAAAATGCTCGGCGGAAATTGAAAGCAAAAGCATGGCCACACGCATGGGCGGCGGGCGGGGGGCTGCAGGGGTCAAAGGGGCAGGCGAAATGCAATAAATATCTAAATTTCCCCTGTTGCCAGCCGGGCCATTATTTATCGATTTATGCAAATTTGCAGCGAACATTTTATCAATAAACAATAATAAATTAAAATCAACAATCAGTGGACTAAACAATCGCATCGTCGTCTCTTTTCCGCAAATCGCACTCTCTCTTTCTCTTTCTCTTTCTCCTCTGTGTGTGTGAGATTTTTGTTTTTTTCGTTTTTTCGGGTGGGCGGGCATTGTGGTCACTGTCCAAATTGAAAACGAAATTTATAAATGCAAATTGTCAACGCCACCGAAAGCCAGCAGAAGAGCCAAAAATGCATAGCGTTTTTCCACAAACACACATACTCGCACATACATGCATACATCTGGATAAGTACTTACGTGCATGCAAATACATGCATACGTGTGCGAAATGTACACGGGGATGTACATATACGCGACATGTATACTATATGTCGACTATACGGACAAATTTACGGCAGCAAAAATGAAATGTTTGTTGCTCGCAATCAAAAATGAAAGCGGCGAGGGGGGGTAGGAGCACAAAGATACCCGACGCAGTGGAGATTGGAGACCCCAACGGCAGGTCAGGTTCTTTGCGGCAGTAGGAAAAGTAGGAAAATGCGCTGCCCAGTGGGAAATTCGATTGCGAGATGAAAATCCTTGCCCTGCGGCGCCAAATAATTACTATGCCTAGAGATGTGTGCACACTGTTTCGAAAGCGCTGCCAGCTGCTTACCCTGCGGGCGTGCACACACTGGTGCAGCTGGGAGAGCAGTGTTTTTGCAGAATTTTAATTTGAATTTTATTATCAGCCATGGTGGATGGATTTACAATGCAATTAGCATCGCTCCGGAGCAAAGTACTGCGCAGCAGAGCTAATGGAATCAAAAAAATGCCATTTGAATTTAAAGCGAATCGACGGGATTGCCATAACTTCATTCGTTCAGCACAGGTTCGAGGTTCCACAAGATACCGCAGGTAGCTATAGTGCATGTTAGTTGAGCCAACATGGCTGAATAGCCAGCTCATTTGAAAGAATTTTCCATTAGGGTAAGTAAAACAACATAGTGGCTGCTCAAGGCCGTTTGCATTCCAGCGGGGAGCTCTATCGCGTAGAGCTATCGGGGCCTAATGCTATGGGCCACCTCCTGGACACCTGGCGGATGTCTCGCATCCTGGCGCTCACCTGGCGCGTACCACAGCACCCACCCCTCGCTACACGCCCCGCATCTCCGGGAGCGTGACCACCTCTGACCGGAGCTATTTTTGCATACTTTTGTGCGACGCGCAAACAATTTGCATTTTCCATTTTCCATTTCAGCGTCAAATGAAATGCGCTCCACTCGTTCCCCTCGATCCCCTCGTGCGGATGCCCCCTTCTCCGCGTGGAGTGGAGGGGCCACTCTCGACCCAACCAGGAGCTGCACCGATGATTTATTGCACTTTTGACGCTATTGCTATTTTATTTGTTTGCGATGAAGTCATTTAGTGCGCGCCACACGCGTGGCAGCTCGATGCGGTTGCAAACTCTGTGCAAGGTGGCGAAAGTCCACGGACAAGAATGATCTCCTGCCACTCCAGCCTTCAATTACCTTTAATCCACGCCCATGTGCCCAACTAGTCCGCTTTGGGGACTGCCCACATGGCTTCCGCCTCAGGTGAACGTCTTAATTGTGGCGTTGACCATGTCATTCGAAGTCTATGGAAAATATTTAAATACTTTTCGAGTCGACGCCAGGGGAGGAGCCTTTCCGCCCGCCGAAGCTTAACTAACGCATAATTTAACTGAGAGCTGTCTTCAAGTTGGCGCACAAAGACCTCCAAGGACTCGGAGCCCGAGACTTGGTTGCTTTCTGCTCCTGGAGCTGTTAAATGCCAGCCAGGGGCGGCTGAGCGCCAGGATGTGCTGCACGGGGGTTTTCAATCCGACACGACTTGAGACAAGTGCCCCACGGCCCCTCCCGCTTTTTATCCTTTCTCTCTGCTCTCTACTTAGGTGTCGTGCAGCTGGTCCTGAGCCATCCTCGTGCCATCCTCGTGCATTTATACGTATGCGTATAGGGGCAGTGTGTATGTGGCATATATCTGAGTAGTTTCGTGAGGTATTTGCACTGGCAGCTATTTGCCAAACGCCGCACATAGACACTCCGCACTCCGCACTCCGCACTCCGCACTCGGCAGTCGGTGGAGTGTCGGTGGAAA